GGGTATTGATTCACATTCGTCTAAGGTCAACCGTGTCTGAGGTTAATAACCCTAATTATTATGGATTATTGTTAATTAGTGTGGATTATTAACGAATATTATGGATACTTATGGATTATTATTAATTATTATTAATTATTATGGATTATTATTAATTGTTACAAATTATTAATTATTATTTATTATTATAATCCTTCAATATTGTTAATTATTAAGAATTATTTTTAATTATTATGGAGTATTGTAAACTGTTATTGTTATGGATTATTATGTATTAATAACGAATATTGTGGATTATGATTAATTATTATTAATTATTAATAATTATTGTGGAAGATTATCGATTGTTATTAATTATTATGGATTATGATGGATAATTAATATTATGTATTGTTGTTAATTATTATGGATTATTAAGGATTATTAGTAGTTATCATGGAATCTTATTAATTATTACGGATTATTATTCATTATTATGGATAATTATGGATTATTATTAATTATGATTAATTATTATGGATCATTAATTATTATGTATTGTTGTAATTTTTATGGAATATTATGGATTATTGTGTATTAATATAAAATATCATAAATTATTATGGATTGTTATTAATTATTGTGTATTATTATTAATTATTATGGATTACTATTAATTACTATGCATTATTGATTATTATAGATTATTATTAATTATTATTAACTAATGTGTCATATTATTATGTTATGGATTATTAATTATTATTTATTTTTAAATATTTTTTACTTATTATGAATTATTATGGATGACTAATTATTATGGATAACAATAAATAATATTAATGATTGTTACTATTATTATGAATTATTATGGAATATTATCAATTATTATTGATTATTATGGATTAATACAAATTTTTATTAATTATAATGAATGATGACACACAAAGATACAAACACAGACAGACACAGAGAAAGATACGCAGACGCAGACAGACACAAATACACAATACGCAGTCACACACAGTCACACACAGGCACAGACCCAGTGACACCTCTATATAGTCTGATATAAACAGTGAGAATCTCTGTATAGAGAAAACACAGTCATTACACTTTATAGTTTATCCTGTGAGAGAGAAACAGAGAGAGTGACACACACACACACACACACGTGCACAAAGGCAAACGCACATACTGAACTGTAGTGACACATACACATGTACACGAAAAGACACTCACACACGGGCGCAGACACACAAACACACACGCACACACACACACACAGGCAAACACAACTGAGCCATGGACACACACAAAACGGCACACACGTACACACAGCCACACACACAGACACACACACAGAGACACACCCACACACAGACACAGACACACAGACGCACACACAGATACACACACACACAGACACACACAGGCACAGACGCACACACAGACACACAGATACACACACAGATACACACACAGACACACACACAGACACACACAGGCTCAGACACACAGACGCACTCACAGACACAGACACACAGACACACACAGGCACAGACGCATACACAGACACACACAGAGAGACACACCCACACACAGACACAGACACACAGACGCAATCACAGACACAGACACACAGACACACACAGGCACAGACGCACACACAGACACACAGATACACACACAGATACACACACAGACACACACAGGCACAGACACACAGACGCAATCACAGACACAAACATACAGACACACACAGGCACAGACGCATACACAGACACACAGATGCACACACAGATACACACCCACACACAGACACACACAGGCACAGACACACAGACACATACACAGACGCAGACACACAGACGCACACACAGATACACACACACACACAGACACACACAGGCACAGACACACAGACGCACTCACAGACACAGACACACAGACACACACAGGCACAGACGCATACACAGACACACAGATGCACACACAGATACACAACCACACACAGACACACACAGGCACAGACACACAGACACATACACAGACGCAGACACACAGATGCACACACAGATACACACACTGACACAGACACACACAGGCGCAGACACACAGACGCACTCACAGACACAGACACACAGACGCACACACAGATACACACCCACACACAGACACACACAGGCACAGACAGAGTAACACCTCTATGTAGTCTGATATAAACAGTGAGAATCTCTGTATAGAGAAAACACAGTCACTACACTTTATAGTTTATCCTGTGAGAGAGAAACAGAGAGAGTGACACACACACACGCACACTCATAAATGCAAACAAACAGAGCCGAGCTCGCACAGAAACACACGCGCACACACACACACAGACACTGAGCCGTGTGCTGACACACACACGTACACACACACACACAGAGAGACAGACACACACATATACACAGACACACAGTCAGACACAGACACACACACGCAGTCACCGAAACACCCACACCCACCCGCACACAGACATACACACACGCACTCAGCTGGGCTGATATACACAGATACACATACAGACACAGAGATACAGACACACACACACACAAAGAATTACACAGACAGACACACGCGGGCGCACACACACACACACACACACACACACAGAAACACCCACACAGGCAGACACACAGATGCACACAAAAAGACTGACATACACAAACACACAGACAGACACAGACATACACAGACAGAGACTCAGCCGTGCTGACACACAGATACACACACACACAGACATACACACAGACACAGACACACTCACACACACACATTCATACACACAGACACACACACACAGTCATACACAGACACACACACACAAACAAAGTCATACACACAGACACACACACGCACAGTCATACACACAGACACACACACACACACACACAAAGTCATACACACAGACACACACACACACAGTCATACACACAGACACACACACACACACACACAAAGTCATACACACAGACACACACACACACAGTCGTACACACAGACACACACACACACACAGTCATACACACAGACACACACACACAGTCATACACACAGATACACACACACAGTCATACACAGACACAGACACACACACACAGTCATACACACAGACACACACACATACAGTCATACACACGGACACACAGTCCTACACACAGACACACACACACAGTCATACACACACAGTCATACACACAGACACAGACACACACACACAGCGTCATACACACAGACACACACACACACACAGTCATACACACAGACACAGTGACAACTCTATATAATCTGATATTGACAGTGAGAACCTCTATATAGACAAAACACAGTCACTACACTTTACCCTGTGAGAGGGACACAGATAGAGTGAGATAGATACACAAACACACACAGGTACACTCACACAGACAAACAGATAAACGCACACAAACAGACAAACTCACACACACACAGACACACAAACATATGCACCAAGACAAACGTACACACACTGAACCGTGGTGACACACACGCACGCACACAAAAAAGGTACACATACACATGCAAACATGGGCGCAGACACACACACACAAACACACGCATAGACACACACAACTGAGCCGTGGTGACATACACAGACGCGCACAAAACGCCACACACATACACACACAGATACAGGCACACACACAGACAGACATACAGGCACAGATACATACACAGACACACACACATATGCACGCACAGAGACACATACAAACAGACGTGCAAACAGACGCAAACACACACAGGTCCTGAGCCAGACAGACAGACAGACAGACACACGGTCAGACACACGGACAGACACACGGACAGACAGACACACGGACAGACGGACGGACACAGACGGACAGACAGACAGACAGACAGACACACGGTCAGACGGACAGACAGACAGACAGACACACGGACAGACGGACAGACACACGGACAGACAGACACACGGACAGACAGATCTGACAATCGACTATCAACCGGGTTCCTATTTATTGCAAAGTAAACAGACGCGGGTGTGTGGAGTAAGAAAACTTGACCGACGTTTCTCCCCGTCTAGGAATCGAACTCAGGTGTCTCGTTTTTGAGGTGAGTGCCTCAGCACTGAGCTACAGGATACCAGGAGAGAGAGAGAGAGAGAAGGAAATGAAAGAAACTTTCCTCTCTCCGAGAGAGAGAGAAAGAGAGAAAGAAAGACGGAAAGAAAGAAAGAAAGAAAGAAAGAAGGAAAGAAAGAAAGAGGTAGAGAGACAGGTAGAGAAAGAGCCACAGACAGAGAAAGAGAGAAAGAGAGCAAGAGATAGGGAGAGACAGAGAGTTGGGAGATATACAGAGAGGAGGAGAAATAGAGAGGGAGAAAAAAGTAGAGACAGAGAGAGAGTCGAGCTGAGAGAGACTGAAAAAGAGAGACAGAGAGACAGAGAGAGGGAATGAGAGAGACTCACAGAGAGAGAAAAAATTGCGCTGATTGTCACGAGCACATATTTTTAAAAATGTTTTATTCCAACGTTCAAAAGCCAACAGGTCCATGGAGCTGTCAACACCATCCATGGAGCGAGGAAAATAATAATAATAATCCTCGCATTTGATATAGCGCTTCTCACGTCGGGAGGACGTCCCAAAGCGCTCCGCAGAACACACTGTAAAGCGAATTGACTGTATATTTGTGGGCGAACGCGGCAGCCAATTGCGCACAGCAATGTCCCACAAACAGTCGTAGATTGAAAATGACCAATTTATTATTGTTTTTGGTTGTGGAGGGATTATTATTAGGCTCTGTGCGGAGTAAGGAAACTTGCCCGAGGTTTCGCCCTCTGCCTGGAATTGAACTCGGGTCAGTCGCTCGCAAAGCGAGTGCTCTAACCACTGAGCTGCAGGACTCCGCACAGCCGACTGAGCCAAGATAATGTTTCTTCAGACTGTAGGCGATCGACCTAAATCGTTAACTAATTTCCCTCTCCTATTGGATGCCGCCGGACCTCCTGCCCGTTCCCGCTGTGATCCTCGGGGGCTGATCGGCTGATGGGACGGTTCAGGAAGGCGTAGTTCGAGCGCCCGGCAGTCGGAATCTCCGACGCAGTTCTCTCCGCAGTAGCTTCTGCTCCTGTCTCACTCCCTGGAGAACGGCCTGGTTTTCCTGAGCTCTGCGCACGAGGTACGGGATCACTGTGTCCACCGCTCCGTAGGGCAGCGACTTGTACACCATGTAGCCGGCCATGCCTGCGTCAGAATAACAGTTACTACACCGCATCATCTGTGGCGCGGTAACAGTCACTGCACTGCCCCGCGTCTGTGTCACAATACCAGTCACCACACTACGCCGCGCCTGTGTCACAATAACAGTCACTACAACACACCATGTCTCTGTCACAACAACAGTCACTGCATCAGCGAGTGAACACCTCGAACACATACTGCACTTCGAACAGTTACTACTCCTCGAATAGTCTCTACAACGGGCTGCATCATAGCGAACAGTCACCACACCCTGCGACTCAGTGAACAGTCACTACACCACACCCTCCTGTGTCACCGTTACAGAAACGGAGAAGAGAGGACAGACACAGATGCAGACACTTGGACAGATACAGTGACCCCCACACACAGTGACAAAGACACCGACACGCACCGGCAGTGCCACACGCGGTGCCACACATGTGACAAACACAGTGACAGAGACGGACACAGTCACACACAATGACACGTACGGTGACACACAGTGACAGAGACAGTGACATACCCAGGGTGACTGACACATGGTCGCACATGCCCATCAACTGTCCAAAACAAACAATTCCATCATCTTTCTCTATGTTCAATTCCCGCATTCTGGAGTGAAAGAGTGTGTGAGAGTGAGTGTGTCTGACAGTGAAATAGTGAGACTGCGAGAGAGAGAGTGAGAGTGAGAGAGTGTGTCTGACAGTGAAATAGTGAGACTGTGAGAGAGAGTGAGAGAGTGTGCGACAGTGAAATAGTGAGACTGTGAGAGAGAGAGAGTGAGGGAGTGTGTCTGACAGTGAAATAGTGAGACTGTGAGAGAGAGTGAGAGAGTGTGTCTGACAGTGAAATAGTGAGACTGTGAGAGAGAGAGAGAGTGAGAGAGAGAGAGAGAGAGTGTGTGACAGTGAACTAGTGAGACTGTGAGAGAGAGAGAGTGAGAGAGAGAGAGAGAAAGAGAGAGAGAGTGTGTGTGACTGTGAAATAGTGAGACTATAAGAGAAAGAGAGTGAGAGAGTGAGAGAGAGAGTGTGAGAGTGATATCAGGAGACTGTGAGAGAGTGTGAGAGAGTGTGTGAGAGAGAGTAAGAGAGAGAGAGAATAGGTGAGAGTGATACAGCGAGATTGTGAGAGAGAGTGAGAGAGAAAGAGAGAGTGTGAGAGTGATATACGGAGTCTATGAGAGAGACAGAGTGAGAGAGAGAGTGAGAGAGAGAGTGAGAGAGAGAGAGAGAGTGAGAGAGAGTGTGTGAGAGTGATATAGCGAGACTGTGTGTGAGAGAGAATGAAAGAGAGAGTGGGAGAGAGTGAGAGTGTGTGAGAGTGATATAGCGAGACTGTGAGAGAGAGAGAGTGAGAGAGAGAGAGAGAGAGAGTGTGAGTGTGTGTGAGAGTGAAATAGCGAGACTGTGAGAGAGACAGAGTGAGAGAGAGAGAGTAAGAGAGAGAGTGAGAGTGTGTGAGAGTGATAGAGCGAGACTGTGAGAGAGACTGAGAGAGAGTGAGAGAGAGTGTGAGTGAGAGAGAGAGTGAAAGAGAGAGAGAGATTGTGAGAGTGATATAGCGAGACTGTGAGAGAGAGAGAATAAAATAGAGAGAGAGAGAGAGTGGGAGAGAGAGAGTGGGAGAGAGATATAGCGAGAGAGTGAGTGAGAGTGTGAGTGTGTGAGAGTGATATCGCGAGAATGAGAGAGTGTGAGTGAGAGAGTGTGAGTGAGAGAGAGTGAGAGAGAGAGAGAGTTAGTGAGAAAGAGTGAGTGAGAAAGAGTGAGTGAGAGAGAGTGTGAGAGTGATATAGCGAGATAGTGAGAGAGAGAGTGAGAGGGAGAGAGAGAGTGTGAGTGAGAGAGAGAGTGAAAGAGAGAGAGAGATTGTGAGAGTGACATAGCGAGACTGTGAGAAAGAGAGGGTGAGAATGATATAGCGAGACTGTGAGTGAGAGAGAATGAAAGAGAGAGAGAGAGTGGGAGAGAGAGAGTGTGTGTGGTAGAGTGATATCGTGAGAGAGTGAGTGAGAGAGAGTGAGTGTGTGAGAGTGATATAGCGAGACTGAGAGAGTGTGAGTGAGTGACTGTGAGTGAGAAAGAATGAGTGAGAGAGAGTCTGAGAGTGATATAGCGAGATTGTGAGAGAGAGAGAGTGAGAGGGAGAGAGAGAGCGTGTGAGAGTGATATAGCGAGACTGAGAGAGTGTGAATGAGTGATTGTGAGTGAGAAAGAATGAGTGAGAGAGAGTCTGAGAGTGATATGGCGAGAATGTGAGAGAGAGAGAGGGAGAGAGAGAGTGTGTGAGAGTGATATCAGGAGACTGTGAGAGTGTGTGAGAGAGTGTGTGAGAGAGAGTGAGAGAGAGAGAAAATAGGTGAGAGTGATACAGCGAGATTGTGAGAGAGAGTGAGAGAGAAAGAGAGAGTGTAAGAGTGATATAGTGAGACTGTGAGAGAGAGTGAGGGAGAGAGAGAGAGAGTGTGAGATTGACATAGCGAGACTGTGAGAGAGACAGAGAGAGAGTGATAAAGAGAGTGTGAGTGAGAGAGAGTGAAAGAGAGAGAGAGATTGTGAGAGTGATATAGCGATACTGTGAGAGAGAGAGTGAGAGTGATATAGCGAGACTGTGAGTGAGAGGGAATGAAAGAGAGAGAGAGTGGGAGAGAGAGAGTGAGAGAGAGAGTGATATAGCGAGAGAGTGAGTGAGAGAGAGAGTGAGTGTGTGAGAGTGATATAGCGAGACTGAGAGAGTGTGAGTGAGAGAGTGTGAGTGAGAAAGAGTGAGTGGGAGAGAGTGTGAGAGTGATATAACGAGATTGTGAGAGAGTGAGTGAGAGGGAGATATAGAGTGTGTGAGAGTGATATCAGGAGACTGTGAGAGTGTGTGAGAGAGTGTGTGAGAGAGAGTGAGAGAGAGAGAGAATAGGTGAGAGTGATACAGCGAGATTGTGAGAGAGTGAGAGAGAAAGAGAGAGTGTAAGAGTGATATAGTGAGACTGTGAGAGAGAGAGAGAGAGAGAGAGAGTGTGTGTGTGAGAGTGACATAGCGAGACTGTGAGAGAGACAGAGTGAGAGAGAGAGAGTAAGAGAGAGAGTGAGAGTGTGTGAGAGTGATAGAGCGAGACTGTGAGAGAGACTGAGAGAGAGTGAGAGAGAGTGTGAGTGAGAGAGAGAGTGAAAGAGAGAGAGAGATTGTGAGAGTGATATAGCGAGACTGTGAGAGAGAGAGAATAAAAGAGAGAGAGAGAGAGAGTGGGAGAGAGAGAGTGGGAGAGAGATATAGCGAGAGAGTGAGTGAGAGAGTGAGTGTGTGAGAGTGATATCGCGAGAATGAGAGAGTGTGAGTGAGAGAGTGTGAGTGAGAGAGAGTGAGAGAGAGAGAGAGTTAGAGAGAAAGAGTGAGTGAGAAAGAGTGAGTGAGAGAGAGTGTGAGAGTGATATAGCGAGATTGTGAGAGAGAGAGTGAGAGGCAGAGAGAGAGAGTGTGTGTGAGAGAGAGAGTGAAAGAGAGAGAGAGATTGTGAGAGTGACATAGCGAGACTGTGAGAAAGAGAGGGTGAGAATGATATAGCGAGACTGTGAGTGAGAGAGAATGAAAGAGAGAGAGAGAGTGGGAGAGAGAGAGTGTGTGTGGTAGAGTGATATAGTGAGAGAGTGAGTGAGAGAGAGTGAGTGTGTGAGAGTGATATAGCGAGACTGAGAGAGTGTGAGTGAGTGAGTGACTGAGTGAGAAAGAATGAGTGAGAGAGAGTCTGAGAGTGATATAGCGAGATTGTGAGAGAGAGAGAGTGAGAGGGAGAGAGAGAGGTGTGAGAGTGATATAGCGAGACTGAGAGAGTGTGAATGAGTGATTGTGCGTGAGAAAGAATGAGTGAGAGAGAGTCTGAGAGTGATATGGCGAGAATGTGAGAGAGAGAGAGGGAGAGAGAGAGTGTGTGAGAGTGATATCAGGAGACTGTGAGAGTGTGTGAGAGAGTGTGTGAGAGAGAGTGAGAGAGAGAGAAAATAGGTGAGAGTGATACAGCGAGATTGTGAGAGAGAGTGAGAGAGAAAGAGAGAGTGTAAGAGTGATATAGTGAGACTGTGAGAGAGAGTGAGTGAGAGAGAGAGAGAGTGTGAGATTGACATAGCGAGACTGTGAGAGAGACAGAGAGAGAGTGAAAGAGAGAGTGTGAGTGAGAGAAAGAGTGAAAGAGAGAGAGAGATTGTGAGAGTGATATAGCGAGACTGTGAGAGAGAGAGTGAGAGTGATATAGCGAGACTGTGAGAGAGAGAGAGAGAGAGAGAGAGAGAGAGATTGACATAGCGAGACTGTGAGAGAGACTGAGAGAGAGTGAAAGAGAGAGTGTGAGTGAGAGAAAGAGTGAAAGAGAGAGAGAGATTGTGAGAGTGATATAGCGAGACTGTGAGAGAGAGAGAGTGAGAGTGATATAGCGAGACTGTGAGTGAGAGAGAATAAAAGAGAGAGAGAGAGAGAGTGGGAGAGAGAGAGTGGGAGAGTGATATAGCGAGAGAGTGAGTGAGAGAGTGAGCGTGTGAGAGTGATATCGCGAGACTGAGAGAGTGTGAGTAAGAGAGTGTGAGTGAGAGAGAGTGAGAGAGAGAAAGTGAGTGAGAAAGAGTGAGTGAGAAAGAGTGAGTGAGAGAGAGTGTGAGAGTGATATAGCGAGATTGTGAGAGAGAGAGTGAGAGGGAGAGAGAGAGTGTGTGTGAGAGAGAGAGTGAAAGAGAGAGAGAGATTGTGAGAGTGATATAGCGAGACTGTGAGAAAGAGAGGGTGAGAATGATATAGCGAGATTGTGAGTGAGAGAGAATGAAAGAGAGAGAGAGAGTGGGAGAGAGAGAGTGGTAGAGTGATATAGTGAGAGAGTGAGTGAGAGAGAGTGAGTGTGTGAGAGTGATATAGCGAGACTGAGAGAGTGTGAGTGAGTGATTGTGAGTGAGAAAGAATGAGTGACAGAGAGTCTGAGAGTGATATGGCGAGATTGTGAGAGAGAGAGAGTGAGAGGGAGAGAGAGAGCGTGTGAGAGTGATATCAGGAGACTGTGAGAGCGTGTGAGAGAGTGTGTGAGAGAGAGTGAGAGAGAGAGAAAATAGGTGAGAGTGATACAGCGAGATTGTGAGAGAGAGTGAGAGAGAAAGAGAGAGTGTAAGAGTGATATAGTGAGACTGTGAGAGAGAGTGAGATAGGGAGAGAGTGTGAGATTGACAAAGCGAGACTGCGAGAGAGACAGAGAGAGAGTGCGAAAGAGAGTGTGAGTGAGAGAGAGTGAAAGAGAGAGAGAGATTGTGAGAGTGATATAGCGATAATGTGAGAGAGAGAGTGAGAGTGATATAGCGAGACTGTGAGTGAGAGAGAATGAAAGAGAGAGAGAGTGGGAGAGAGAGAGAGTGAGAGAGAGAGTGATATATCGAGAGAGTGAGTGAGAGAGAGAGTGGGTGTGTGAGAGTGATATAGCGAGACTGAGAGAGTGTGAGTGAGAGAGTTTGAGTGAGAAAGAGTGAGTGGGAGAGAGTGTGAGAGTGATATAACGAGATTGTGAGAGAGTGAGTGAGAGGGAGATAGAGAGTGTGTGAGAGTGATATCAGGAGACTGTGAGAGTGTGTGAGAGAGTGTGTGAGAGAGTGAGAGAGAGAGAGAGAATAGGTGAGAGTGATACAGCGAGATTGTGAGAGAGTGAGAGAGAAAGAGAGAGTGTAAGAGTAATATATTGAGACTGTGAGAGAGAGAGAGAGAGACAGAGAGTGAGATTGACATAGCGAGACTGTGAGAGAGACTGAGAGAGAGTGAAAGAGAGAGTGTGAGTGAGAGAAAGAGTGAAAGAGAGAGAGAGATTGTGAGAGCGATATAGCGAGACTGTGAGAGAGAGAGAGTGAGAGTGATATAGCGAGACTGTGAGTGAGAGAGAATAAAAGAGAGAGAGAGAGAGAGTGGTAGAGAGAGAGTGGGAGAGTGATATAGCGAGAGAGTGAGTGAGAGAGTGAGCGTGTGAGAGTGATATCGCGAGACTGAGAGAGTGTGAGTGAGAGAGTGTGAGTGAGAGGGAGTGAGAGAGAGAGAGTGAGTGAGAAAGAGTGAGTGAGAAAGAGTGAGTGAGAGAGAGTGTGAGAGTGATATAGCGAGACTGTGAGTGAGAGAGAGTAAAAGAGAGAGAGAGAGAGAGAGAGTGGGAGAGAGAGAGTGGGAGAGTGATATAGAGAGAGAGTGAGTGAGAGAGTGAGCGTGTGAGAGTGATATCGCGAGACTGAGAGAGTGTGAGTAAGAGAGTGTGAGTGAGAGAGAGTGAGAGAGAGAAAGTGAGTGAGAAAGAGTGAGTGAGAAAGAGTGAGTGAGAGAGAGTGTGAGAGTGATATAGCGAGATTGTGAGAGAGAGAGTGAGAGGGAGAGAGAGAGTGTGAGTGAGAGAGAGAGTGAAAGAGAGAGAGAGATTGTGAGAGTGATATAGCGAGACTGTGGAGAAAGAGAGGGTGAGAATGATATAGCGAGACTGTGAGTGAGAGAGAATGAAAGAGAGAGAGAGAGTGGGAGAGAGAGAGAGTGGTAGAGTGATATAGTGAGAGAGTGAATGAGAGAGAGTGAGTGTGTGAGAGTGATATAGCGAGACTGAGAGAGTGTGAGTGAGTGATTGTGAGTGAGAAAGAATGAGTGACAGAGAGTCTGAGAGTGATATGGCGAGATTGTGAGAGAGAGAGAGTGAGACGGAGAGAGAGAGCGTGTGAGAGTGATATCAGGAGACTGTGAGAGTGTGTGAGAGAGTGTGTGAGAGAGAGTGAGAGAGAGAGAAAATAGGTGAGAGTGATACAGCGAGATTGTGAGAGAGAGTGAGAGAGAAAGAGAGAGTGTAAGAGTGATATAGTGAGACTGTGAGAGAGAGTGAGAGAGGGAGAGAGTGTGAGATTGACATAGTGAGAGTGTGAGAGAGAGAGTTTGAGTGAGAGTGAGAGATTGAAAGAGAGCGAGAGATTGTGCGAATGTTATAGCGAGACTGTGAGAGAGAGAGAGAGAGAGAGAGAGAGAGAGAGAGAGAAAGAGAGAGTTAGAGAGAGTGAGAGAGAGAGAGAGCGTGAGAGTGACATAGCGAGACTGTGAGAGAGAGAGAGAGTTAGAGATAGTGAGAGAAAGAGAGAGAGTGTGAGAGTGACATAGCGAGACTGTGAGGGAGAGAGTGAGAGAGAGTGTGTGAGAGTGATATAGAGAGAGTGAGAGAGTGTGAGACTGACATAGCCTGTGAGAGAGACTGAGAGAGTGAGAGAGAGAATGTGAGTGAGAGAGAGAGTGGGAGAGTGATATAGCGAGAGAGTGATTGAGAGAGAGAGTGAGTGTGTGAGTGTGATATAGCGAGACTGAGAGAGTGTGAGTGAGAGAGTGTGAGTGAGAGTGAGAGAGAGAGTGTGAGCGTGACATAGCGAGACTGTCAGAGAGAGAGAGAAGAGAGTTAGAGAGAGTGAGGGAGAGAGAGAGTGTGTGAGAGTGACATAGCGAGACTGTGAGAGAGAGTGAGAGAGAGTTAGAGAGAGTGAGGGAGAGAGAGAGAGAGAGTGAGAGTGACATAGCGAGACTGTGAGAGAGAGTGAGAGTGAGAGAGAGTGTGTGAGAGTGATATAGCGAGACTGTAAGAGAGAGAGTGTGTGAGAGTGACATAGAGTGAGAGAGTGTGAGACTGACATAGCCTGTGAGAGAGACTGAGATACTGAGAGAGAGAGTGTGAGTGAGAGAGAGAGTGAAAGAGAGAGAGAGATTGTGAGAGTGATATAGCGAGACTGTGAGATAGAGAGAGGGAGAGAGAGAGTGTGTGAGAGAGTGTGTGAGAGTGATACAGTGAGACTGTGAGAGAGAGAGAGAGAGAGAGAGAGAGAGAGAGAGAGAGAGAGAGAGAGAGAGAGAGTGTGTGAGAGAGAGAGAGAGAGAGAGAGAGAGTGAGAGAGAGAGTGTGAGAGTGATATAGCGAGACTGTGAGTGAGAGAGTGAGAGAGAGAGTTAGAGAGAGAGAGAGAGTGAGAGAGAGAGAGAGAGAGAGAGAGAGAGAGAGAGTGTGTGTGTGAGAGAGTGTGTGAGAGTGATACAGCGAGACTGTGGAGAGAGAGAGAGAGTGCGCGAAAAATCAGAGAGCGCCAGAGGGAATGTCTTCCGAGACAGTGAGAGCGCCAGAGTGAGGGGGAGAGAGATAGTGTGATCGTAGTGTGCGGAGATGCGGTGCGAGATGTAGGGGGAGATGTGGGGAAGAGGGGGAGATGTGGTGGAGAGGGGGTGGAGGGGAGATGCGGGAGCAGACGGGGAGATTGGGAGGGAGAGGGGGGAGATGTTTGGGGGGGTGGAGGGGTAGTATATGGGGGAGGAGGAAAAGGGGGGGGAGATGTGGGAAAACTTGGGCAGGAGAGGGTGGGAGATCGGGGTGGTGGGGGGGTGTTGGGGCGTAGACCCCACCTGCCAAGAGTGTGTTGAACCGAGTGTTCATTGTGAGTGGCCACGATGACGCGATACTTGTCTCTGTGTTTCGCGCTTAATTCCAACAAATGGTCCAAAACTCTCTGGTAACTGAACAAAAATAATCACGTTATACCCCCTCTCCGCCCTCTCCCCCCCCTCTCCCCCAGGCCGTTTGGTGAATATTGCCTGTGCCGACATCTCGGTGGATAGTCAACATTTTCACTCTTCCCCCCTCCCCACCCACCCCCTCACATCTCCGAGACGTCTCAAAGTGCTTCGCAGGATATACCGTCCAGTGAATCGGCTGTACGTTTGGTCGGGGGAAACGCAGCAGCCGATCGCGCGGGGGGGGGGGGGGGCGGCGGCGGCGGTTCCCACACACGGTCGAGAATGGAGCGACCGACTTTTTCACGCGGAGCGCGTGGGGTTCTGTCGCCCGGTGGTCCGAGCGCTCGCCTCGCCGGCGAGAGGCCCGGGTGTGATGCCCGGGTCGGCCAAAACCTTGGCCCACGTTTCCCGACCCCGCGCGCGCCCCGATAATAACCCCTCGAGAAAAAAGACGCAGTCGTAAGAATTGGTCGCCTCCGAGTTGTGGTTTGTGGGTTCGCGGTGGGGAGACTGTGTGTACGGCGCTTTGTGCAGCTGGTGTACGCGGTGGGGGGTGGCAATGTCTTTGTGTGTTGAGGGCTGTGTGCGTGGGGTGGGTGGTGGGGCTGTGCATCTGTGTTTCTGAAGGAGGGCTTTGTGTATGTGGGGGTGGGGGTGTGGGTGGGTAGGTGTGCGGGATGTGTCCGTGTTGGGGAGCTTTGTGGGTGTGTATTTGGTGGGGGTTTATGGGCTGTTTGTGTGGGGGGAGCGGTGTATGTGTATATTGTTGGGGCGGCGCTGTGTGTGAGTATGTATGGGTAGCTGTGTGCGTGGGGGGGGGATGTAGAGGGTCTGTGCATGTGTTTGTTTGGGGCTGTGTCGTGCGTTTGTGTGGGTGTTTGTGTACGTGGTGGGGGTTTATAGGTGCTATGCTGTGTATGGAGGGCTGTGTGGATATAGCGGTGTTGTGGGGGGGGCTGTGTGTATATGTGGGGGGGATGGGTGTGTGGGAGGCCTTGCGTGTGGGTGTGTATGTGGTGGGGAACTGAATGTGTGGTGGGGGCTTTGTGTCTGTATGCGGGAGGGCTGTGTGCGTATATGAAAGGGGCTGTGAGCGCGTGTGTATGTTTGGGGCAGCTGTGTGTGCATGCGGAATGGGGGCTATATGTATGTTAGGGGGGGCTGTGTGTGTGGGGGGGATGTGTGGGTGGCTGTGTGGAGGGGGTGCTGTGTGTGTGTGTTTGTGGGGAGGCTTTGAGTGTATGTGGTGTGGGTCATGGGGGTTGTGTATGTGGGGCTCTGTGTATCTGTGGATGGGGGTGTGTGGCTGTGTATGAGTGTGCATGTGAGGGGTGTTGTGCGTGTATGTTGGGGGAGTGCTGTGTGTGTGTGTATGTGGGGGAGTTATGGGGTCTGTGTATTACATGTGTGTCTGTGAGGGCTGTGTGTGTGTTTAGGGGGTGGCGTGTGTTTAAGTTGGGGTGTGATGTTTGTGTGGATATGTGGGGGTGGTGCTGTGTATGTGGAGTGGCTGTGTGTGGCTGTGTGTATAGGTGTGTGTGTGGCGGGGAGGCTTTGTGTGTGTATGTGATGGGGGTTATGGGGGACCGTGCGTGTATGTTGGGGTCTGCGTGTCCGTGGGAGGGGTGGGGGGGGGCTGTGTGTGAGTGTGTATGTGGCGTGGGGGATTGTGCGAGTGACTGTTCGTATGTGGGGGGGCTGTGTTGGGGGGAGGGTGGGGACTGTATATATGTGTTGGTGCGGACTGTGTGTGTATATGTTGGGGAGTGATGTCGGTGTGTATGTGGTGGGGGCTGCGCGTGGGGCGCGTTGTGTGTATACGTGGGGGGAATGTGTGCGTGGGGTGGTGATGTGCGTGTGGGGGGTGTGGGCTGTGCGTGTGGGGAGAATGTGTGCATGGGGTGGCCCTGTGTGTGAGGGGGCAGTGGTGTGCGTGTGTGGGGGAGGGCTGTATGCGTGTATGCGGTGGCGTGGGGATGGGGGGAGCTCGGTGTGTATGTGGCGGTCGGCCTGTGTGTGTGTGTGATGAGGGTGCTGTTTGTTTTGGAGGTGCTCCATATGGGTGGGCTTTGTGTATGTGGGGATGCGAGTGTGGGGGGGGGGGGGCACTGTGTGTGGTGAGGCTGTGATCTTTGGGGTGCCTGTGCGTGTGGTTGGAGGGGCTGTGTGTGTACGTGGCGGGGCTGTGGCTGGGTGGACGTGTGTGTCCGGGGTTATGGTGTGTGTATGTGTGTGGCTGTGTACAGATGCACGAATCGTGAGAGGTCTGTGGGCGTGGGGATGCTTTGCTTGTTTGTGTGGTGGGGTTTTATTGTAGGGGGGGGTCTGTGTTTGGATGTGGGGAATGTGTGTATGGAGGGAGGGCTATGTGTGTGGGGTGGGGTGGGCTCCATGTGGATTTGAAGGGACTGTGTGCTTTGGGGGTGCTCTATATGGAGGGTTGCGTGGATGTGTGGGTGGAGGTGCTGTGTATCTTCTGTGGTGCGCTGTGTATGTGGGGACTCTGTGTGTGTGTGTGTGTGGGGTCCGGCTATTTGTGTGGGTGTGTAGGGTGGGGGTGTGTGTGTGGTGTGGGCTGTGGTGTTTGTGAGCAGGGGGGGGTGTCTGTGTGGGGCGTAGTGTGTGGAGGGGTACTGTGTGTGTTGGGGGCTTTGTATAGGGAGGCTGTGTGTGTGTGGGGAGGGGACTCTGTGTGTGGGGGGTGCTGTGTGTTTGGGTGTGTGGTGGAGCTGTGTATGTGTGTGGGGGTTGTACGGGGCGCTGTGTATGTGCGTGGGGGGGGACTGTGGTGTGTGTGTGTGTGGGGGGGGGTCCGTGTTTGTGTGGGAGCCTGAGTGTGAAGGGTGACTGTGTGTGTGTGTGTGTTGGGGGCTGTTGCGTGCGTTGGGGCCTGTGTGCGTACATTATTGGTTGTCTGTGTGTGAGGGGGAGCTGTGTGTGTACGGGGGTTTGGTTGGCTGTGTGTGGAGGGAGGGCTGCGTTGCGTGGGGTGGCTGTGCGTGTATGTAGGTGGGGTGCGTTTGAGGAGAGGGGGATGTGTGCATGTGTGTGCGCGTGTGTGTGTGGGGAGAGGAGGGGATGCGTGTGGATGGCACCTGATGTTAGTGGCCTCCCAGCTCTCAGCGATGGGGTCTGACCTCCCCTGGGTCAGGGCTGATGCCCTCTCCTTATCCATATACGCCCCTCTGACCAGTTTCAGTCCGAAACACACTCTCCGTTCCGCAGCTGTGTGTATATCAGCCGCGATCAGCTCCGAGACGGCCTGCGGGCAGAGAGAGGCAATGTAACGCTCCCTCTACACTGCGCATCCGTCCGCACTCCCCGGGGTCAGGGTTAGAGACGCAGTAACGCTCCCTCTACACTGTGCGTCCACACTCCCGGGTGAGGGTTAGAGACACAGTAACGCTCCATCTGCACTGCGCGTCCGTCCGCACTCCCGGGTCAGGGTTAGAGACACAGTAACGCTCCTCTACACTGTGCGTCCACACTCCCAGGTCAGGGTTAGAGACACAGTAACGCTCCCTCTACACTGCGCGTCCGTCCGCACTCCCAGGTCAGGGTTAGAGACATAGCAACGTTCCCTCTACACTGTGCGTCCACAATCCCAGGTCAGGGTGAGAGTCGCAGCAACGCTCCCTCTACACTGTGCGTCCGTCCACACTCCCAGGTCAGGGTTAGAGACGCAGTAACGCTCCCTCTACACTGTGCGTCTGTCCACACTCCCAGGTCAGGGTTAGAGACGCAGTAACGCTCCCTCTACACTGTGCGTCCACACTCCCAGGTCAGGGTTAGAGACACAGTAACGCTCCCTCTACACTGTGCGTCCACACTCCCAGGTCAGGGTTAGAGACACAGTAACGCTGACTCTACACTGTGCGTCCACACTCCCAGGTCAGGGTTAGAGACGCAGTAACGCTCCCTCTACACTGTGCGTCCGTGTACACTGCCAGGTCAGGGTTAGAGACTCAGTGAAACACTCTCACCTTCAGGTAACACTGATATGTGTTCCATATCCAGGCTTGTGATGAATTAAACTTCGCCATCATCGTCATGGTGACCAGGGACAGAGCCGGGTTCAGGTACGTGTATTCAGCATCAAGGAGGATGCGTACGCGCCGTCTGACTGCGTACTGCGAGCAAATAATAACAACAACAACAACAACAAGATTCCATTTATAAACCGCCTTTCACGTCAGGAGGACGTCCCAAGGCACTACACAGTTGGGTCATGACCGAGCAGGGGGGAAATGGTCAGGGTAAGGGGAGGGAAGGGAGGGAGCGAGGAGGGGAAATGGTCAGGGTGAGGGGAGCGAAGGGAGGGAGCGAGGAGGGGGAAGAGTGTCGAGAGGGGAGCTGAAGGCTCGGTCAAAGAGAAAGGTTTTGAGACCGGCCTTGAAGGAGGAAAGGGAGGAAGCAAGGCGAAGGCACTGGGGGATGGAGTTCCAGAGCCTGGGGGCTGAGAGGCTGAAGGCCCGACCACCGATGGTAGGGCGGTTGGGGCGGGGACGTGGAGCAGACCGGAGCAGAGGAACGGAGGCTACGGGCAGGTAGGTAGGGGGATCCTCTAGGGGATGGGGAGCCAGTGGAGCGAGCGAGGGTGGGAGTGATGTAGTCGCGAAGCCTGGTGCGGGACAGTACACGAGCTGCAGAGTTCTGAATGACCTGCAGCTTGTGGAGGGAGGTGGCGGGAAGGCCGGCGAGGAGAGAGTTCCCATAGTCCAGCCTTGAGGTGACAAAAGCGCGAACCAGGGTTTCAGCAGCGTGAGGGGTGAGGTAATGCCGTAGTCTGGTGATGTTCCGGAGGTGATGGAAGACGGTGCCATTGTGGTGCGGATGTGAGGGAGAAAGGACAGCTCAGGGTCGAACAAAACGCCGAGGTTCCTGACTGGCTTTGAGTGGAGAGTGCAGCCTTGGATGCTGATGGTGTCAGCGCCTGAGGTGCGGAGGCGCTGACGTGAGCCAATCAGGAGGGCCTCGGTTTTTCGCACGTTCAGCTGAAGAAAGTTGTCTCTCGTCCAGGACTCGATGTCGGACAGGCAGCTGTCAGGACATCGGTGGTCGTGGAGTTGAGAGTAGAGGAGGAAAGGTAGAGTTGGGTGTCATCCGCATACATGTGGAAGTTAACTCCATGTCTGCGGATGATGTCACCAATAATAATAATAATAATATTAATCCTTGCATTCGACATGGTGCGAATAACACATCTTTCAGATGTCTCAAAGCGCTTCACAAAACACACTGTGAAGTCAA